ATATTATGGTTCAGATCTATGGGTTAATTTATCAAAACAATAACAAGCCAGAATTAAAAAAAAAAACTTCTGACACTAACATATATTTGGACTTGTCTATAAAAAAAAAAACCCAAAAATCTTCGTTGGTCGTTATGCACAGAATGACAGAAATAATGTCTATTTGTCTTCATGTAGTGCAACGACTTCTTTGGTCAAGGCTGCCCTTTTTAGCTTAACTTAGGAGCAGATAAGTTTATGATTGAGTATACCTGAGTTAATATTCCAAGTGTTAAAAAAAGATCACTGCCGAGCACAGAACTCAAATGAGTTTTTCCCTTTCACCGATGAGCCACTATCACAGTCAAAGAGAAAGATTAGAATTTTTTTTTGAATAAAGTGAATGAGAAAGAGATTGCCAGAATACCAGATAAAGTGAGTGAGTGCTAACGTTGGAGCCTTGAAGTGAGTACTGCTCGAGAGTGAGAGTGAGAGGCAGAGACTGTAAGTGTGAGCCTGTGAGGTCCGATCCGAAGAAGGAGGTTAGGAGGCGCTCTTAGGGTTTCAGTTTCAGATCAGAATCAGGAAAAAAAAAGGGTGAAACAGGAGCTCTTAAGTCTTAACGTTATATATTTTTAACATTTTTAAATAAAATAAAATAATAAAAACCCGCGGGTTAACCCGCCCCGCCCAGCCCATAACCCGTGTTAACCCGCTACTTGACGGGGCGGGTTGAGATGGGTTGAGGTGTGTAACCCGCCCCGCCCCGTTTTGGCAGGTTGGCGGGTTGACCCGTCGGGTTCAACCCATATTGCCACCCCTAAGTTGGGCCTTGTGGTCGAACCTATAGTGTGATGGAGGGATTGCAATATGTTATTTGTTGGACAAGTTAATTGATGGTCATATATGTGTGATCATTGTAGGTGGCCTTCCTCGGACATGACTGTAGAGGACTAACTCTTGAAGCTACAAAGTTTGGGAGCTTCTAATAGGTAATCCCTTAGTACTGGGGTTTGATCCCCGTGTGTGCTCCACCATGCTCGTTGAGGGTAGTGGTTGGAGGTGTATGTTGGTAATGTAGTATAACATGTTCATGCATTATTGTATGTTAGTGGTACATAGGATGTACTGAGTCTCTGGCCAGTAGACAGTTGCCTTCGGGCGTTACGGACTTCCACTGGATAGGTCTCCATGAGGGAGTTCCAGTTGACCTGGGGTCGTGATGTGTCATCCGTAGAGGAGCACACTAGGAAGTATCGGGTGGATATGGATGAAGGGTACCTTGGTTGATGTTCTGAGAACACTTCCTTGGATTGGAACCCAAGCTATGTGCCGAGGCCACGGCCGGATGTTGCGTGGTATTGGCATCGACCATTCCAGCTTCATCGTATTTTGTTCCCTATGCTTCCCTACTTCACTAAATCCCTTGCTTTATCCCATTTTTAAATGTTGTATTATATTATTGATATGCATTGAAGTGAGCCATTGGGCGGAGTATTCTCCAGAACCTCTGGATTACTGAGATATATTCGTATATCTCATCTCGTATTTGGGGCATTATTTCAAGTAGTAGCAGTGGGACTGGAGCTGTGGGCAAGAGGCCCATAGGTTGAGCACTTGGAGATTGGAGGATTTTTGCATTTTGAGACCACTTTGGCATAGGCTAGACTTAGGGCATGAACATTGTATATTGATTTAGGATTATGCATATTGTATACTTGTTCATGCCATAATTTGCCTAAGTCTAGTTGTTGATTTATCACGTTGTACTTTGGAATATTTAATTGTATTATTTATCATTTGGAAAATTGTAAATGTGAACTCATAGACCTTGTGTAATATGTAAAGCATTTATGTGATGAAAGGGAAATAGGCCTAATTTAAGTTATGATTATGTATCTATTGTAAGAATGCAAGCAAATGGGACAATATGATTGTAATAATTCTAAGTTTTGATAAAGTATGTAATGAATCATAAATGGATGAGAATATGTTAAATTGTTGTGGGTTGTAAGAGCACCAAGACATTGTTGGTCCTTCAGTGCCACCCTTGTCTATTAGGTATAGGGGTGAAACTGGGCCGGGCCGGCCTACAGGGGCCTACGGCTCGGCCTATATCAGGCTAGATCTGACCTAGTATATTTTGTATAATAGGCCGAGCTCGGGCCTTAAAAAAGCATGTTTAATAAAAAGGCCGTAGGCCCACTTTCAAAAGGTCGGGCCTATAAGCCTACAGGCTGGCCTATATTGTACTATTTATTTTAAATAAAATAAAATAGAGTAAGTATGCCTTGAAGAAAAAAAAAAGATATAAATTTAATCAATTGCAATTATTTATAACTTAATCATATTCGATTATATTTTAATAGAAATCTTACTTTATTTCTTATATAGGAGGAACCAACATCTCAACATGTTAGATTGTGTATATGAATATATTAAAAGATTTTTGGCAGAGGTTATACTTACTACAAGCATCATGATGTGTTTGTTGGATTCATGTAGTTATTTTAATTTACATAGTATGGATTTGTTTGTTGGATCTGATGAAATATATGTTATTTAATTTGAGCATTTTGCTTTTGAAAATGACTTAAATGCATATTGTATTAGTTTTGTTATGATTCATGATTCTGTTTGGACGTTGAAATTATGATTTTTGGTGTAGCAACAGAATTTGAGTACTTTGTAAAGTTGATTCATGGTTCTGCTTGGAAGTTAAAAATTAACAGGCTAACGGGTCAAGCCAGGCCATTTGTTTTTTTCATAAACGGGCCAAACCAGGCTAACCGTTAGACTCATACTAGGCTTGGGCCGGGCCAAATTGAAATTTTTTGACGTAGGCTTGGGCTTTTTGGGGCAAAGCTCGGCCCAGCCCAGCCCACTTTCACCCCTAAATTTAGGTACCCTTGATGCATAATAACACATTCTGATAAAGTGGGATAGGTTGAATAAGCAAAGGAGGTGCCGCCGAAATTTATACTAAAATGACAGTTTTTAGGCTAACTTTGGGAGAGTATATGTTCCTCCACAAAGGTTCAATAGGGACGTTCCATATATCATTTTAAAGCTTAAGATGTCAGCTATATTGTGTCAAAATTTGGTATCATTCGGAGTAGTAGAACTTTCCCAGTTTTCAAATGAATACAGACTACTCTGTTTCGCGCTGTAGAGCGCAGCTTCTATAAGCAGTTTTCAAAATTCATATCTCCCTTATTTCTTACTCAAATTAGGCTTATGATATGTCAAACTAAAGACCTGTGAATATAGTTTCTTGTATCCAAAATTCAGAATTTTCTGGTTAGTGGATCACTCCCAGTTTGGATTAGAACTAACGCTGTTAAACCTTAAAATGTTAAAATGGAGGTAATGTTACGATAGTAGGAACGGGAACGACTGTTGTTTAGGGGACGATAATGCCTTATGTTCAGATGGTGGGAACGAACCAGAAGGGGAACAACTCTTGAGAATGACCCTAGGGAATGACTTATATGTATAGGGAACGTCCCGTGTATGGGGGAACGTCACACGTTCCTAGCTCATACATGATTTAGTAAAATGGATATAACTTGAGCTATAGGGCTCTAAATTGAGTGAGGTTTGGGCCTATATGAAGCTAAAACATAGGGCTATATCATATTAAGTTTTAGTATCATTAAGTATATGGATCATTACCAGTTTAAAGGATCAACTTATGATGAGCATATCCGGAGTTATAGAACTCCAAATGAGGTGTGTGATACCTTGTTGGAAATTTAATTGTATCTATTTTAACATACTAAAAGATGGAAAACTAATAATGTGTGGATCATGCCCAATAGTGAAAGGACAGAAGCATGTTCAATGTTAGGAAAAGTGGAAAAGCAAGATTTATGCTAAGTTGGTTTATGGGAACCTCTTAGCAACTTAAAGTAAACATTGTATTATAGTTAAGCGTGTGTAATGTTAATTCCGCGTATAGATTTCAGTTATGATCACAATTTATATCATTACGTTTTGTATTGTTTTCAAATGCTTACGTAATGAAAATGAAAAAGTTTACTTGTATTTTTAAATAAACTGTTGTGATTGTAACTGCGCTTAATATCATAATCAATGTTAACAATACCGGTACGTAATGGGCTATTACATTGTGCAAAGTAATTCGATTTCCAATGCAACAATGAGTGAAGATATATTGCTATTACTGTGTCTCTCCAACTTCTAATACAAAAAAATTTATATAGAAATATACAATCATAGAGATTTGTATTAAATATCTCGATGCATCATAACATCTTGCAAAACATTTCACAACCATCCACAATTGTTCAATCAATCAAATGAAAAAACATCAAATAAGGCTCAAATCCTATTTCAACAACACCCATAGCAATTCTTTCCATACACAACTTCATCATCAAAACTATTTTTTTGAAATATTCCTCATGTGTCAGTGTACTATATTATATATTAGTCATATTGTTTCTACAAATAATTGCAAAATTTCAGCCAATAAAGTACAGAACAAATGAACAATTAATGGATAAGTACTTAACTCTTTCTCCAGTTTAATCTTTTTAACAAGATGGACAATCGAAGAATTTAATTTGTCTTCAACGATATCATTATAATTCACAGACAGTGTCAACAAAGACAGAGAAACATTAGCATCACTTGAACTCTAACATGTTTGACTCTCAATATCCTAGTAAGAAATTAAAATTATATGAAATAAACTTAAAATTGGATGAAATGATAATGCACACACTAATTAATTGATCAAATTCGATAATAATTTTTAGATATTGCAACTCTTCCCAGTTCTCCTTATACAATATCATTGTCGCAAGCATTATCGAATATAGATTCATCCTGTAAATTTTTGAATAGTAAAAAAAATGCAAAGAATTAGTATAATGAAACGATGATTTTAAATAAAAACAACATACATTTGAGTCCACCACATACTTAAGAAATGATGTGATAATAATTTCAGTGCTGCAAACTTTTGAAACTTGATATTTTGGCCCATTGTATGAGTCTAAATTCTTTTTTTTTCACATTAAATAACATAGATTTGTCGTTAAGAACTTTAAGTTCTTCAGGATAATGCTCCAAATCAGCATCCTACAAAAAAATATTCCACAAAATTAATTTCTTAAAGTGAATTACTAAATAGAAGAATACCTAAGTGTTGTGAAAATGTGAGGAATGAGAATCAAACCCGCTTGAAATGCTGCTCGCGTATACTAGCATCACTCATTCCCAATAAAGTAGCACAATCTCTATCGAACAATATGAAAGATGCAGAATTCGTGTTATCCACCACTCTTACTTGAACACTAAATCTGTCACACATTAACACCAGCGGTCTTAGATACACATCACAAAGGAATGATTTTATAACAAAACTAAAAATTAGAGACAAAAAATCTTAATTAGGATAATAATTATCCCAATGTTTCTAGAAGTTCTTACAATACCATTTTTCAAAATCTTCACAAACAGAATATGAACATTTCTTATAGGACTTGTACCACCAGTTGTACCTGCGTTCAATTGATTTTATGGCTCCATAAATAATGCACGTGGTAATGTCACTGCAATTCTTAATATCACTGATAGACTTCCTTTAGTTTCTATCAGAAAATCATTTTCAAAAGAATATGATGATTGGTTGGACAACTGAGTCAACCTCATACTCTTTCTATCGGATCATATGTAAGCCTAAAACATAATATAATAGCAAGCAATTTGTGCATATACTCAAATCAATGCTTCATCGACGACACATGTATGTATATTAATTTACACGCAGTTTAAAAATATATAGTCCACCTTTTTTTTAATTCTACAATCTCTGGTACATTGGAATCCAAAAGAATCCTTGCATATATTTTGTATTCATTATTCCTATTTTACCTATACAATTAAGAAGACGTAAGAGAGAGAGATACAGAGAAACAAACAGGGTATAACAAAGTTAAGAAAAGAAACATACTAAAACACAAGAATAAAAATTATTAAGAAAAATCCAAAAATACCCCTAAAACCCTTTATCCTTGCAAGCTGAAAAATTATCACGTTATGAGAAGATTGATTATTTGCCAAGAAAGTCTGCACTTCATCTACATGTTGCTCCCACAAAGTGTACCTGTGCTTGTTAACCCCATTTCCGCAGTGATAGTAAGAAATCAATATATATTTCATATCGATATGACAAAAATACCTGAGGTCAACGCAACCATTTTTGTTTTCCTACTGGAGACAACATGCTCACGAACTTCCCAATTTCTGATAGTAAACCGATGATGTCTACAGAACAAAGAATTTGTTCACCTGTCAATGTTATCAACACAATAAAGATATAACTAAAATCAGAGAGAAATTATACTACCTACTAAATAAGGAGAGCCAGCGAATCTTTCTCAATAACGTCAAAATCAACAAAATTGAATCCATTGGCAGGAATAGTAGCATCAACAGTCGATTTAACATCCGTTCTCAAGTTGAAAGATAGACAATAATCATGTCTAGTTGGCCTGAAATTATCACTACTTAATCCAACTCCTATTTTTTTATTTTATAAAATAGACATCTCCTTCACAAATTTTTTACCAGACCTGTAAAGATCCTTTGACAGTAACATGGATCCTTTCACCCTGCAAAAGACATACATTAGTTAAAAAAAAACCAAACCATATCACAACAGAGCTGGGAAAAGAAATGCAAAGTATTATATTTTCATCTAATAGAACCATCTCCAAATTGTCGTCAAAATCTTTACGTTGAAAATTAGAAACCTTGCAAGTCCTAACCACCCTGACCTTAATCCTTCACTCCTGCTTGAATGGATTAAGGTCCTTTATAAAATCATATATGGAGTACATAACGAACGATATATTAGATAATGCAGAAGAACAAGTTGAGAAGATGAAGAATATTAGATAATACAGATAAACAAATTGAGAAGGTGAAGAAGCAAAAAAGCTGATGATAAAACGAAAAAACCTAGTAATACATATGATATTTATACACGAAATATTTTCCATTCTTTTAACTCATTTTTACATTTTACGATTAAAATTAAAATATAAATTTTTATTTTTAATGCTTATAACAATTGTCTATGCAGAAAGTTGTGGGATATTAATACAGCTAGACCTCACCAAAAGAATGCTGCACTTTTTTTCCACCTATGAAGTTTGATTTTTAAATTTGAAAAGTTACTAATAGAAGAAATATTTCAAAGTGTCTTTAGTGTGAACACAAGGCTGATATTGAAGGAGAGAGCGACACATCAATAAACTTTCCAATGTTGTATCTTCCTTTTATATATTAATAGATGTTGTTACACATATTTGTGCATTTTTTTATTTCCTATTTTAAAATGATGGACCCCACGATAATTGACTCTATAACATAAGATAAAATTTTTGGAGCAACATAAGACAAATAAAGCCCTTTTATATAATAATCCAAGTTCTGAAGTCTTTGCAAACCAGTACTGTCAAATTATCTATTGATGTGATATAACCTACATCACAATGACATCGATATTACTTGCAACAAAAACTAATTAGGTACACATACTTAATAAGACACACATGAGCTTTGTTGGAGATATCTATGGAGATAAATTAATCACTGTGTCTTGCACATAAACAAAACCTAATTAAAAGAATGAACCAAATAACCAACTAGTTTCAATTAATGATGCATTTCATATACTTACCTTCCACTACATGTTGATATCCACCCTAATTGGACACAATGAAGGTTCACATAAATAGTGTTCACCAGAGTCCACTTATATATACAACTCAATGAATCTTTGCTACGATTGGCTCAAAAATGCATCTATCACGTACGCCACATTATCATCGTCAACAACTTCCATAACAAACTGTTGCTTATCACTGGTGTCATATCTAGTTGTCAAGCGAGAAACAATTTGATGGTCTTGTAGCCCCAATTTCTTTTAGGAGATATATAAGGAAGGGTTAGGTATTTAGGTGGAAGTGGAAACTGGTGAGTTTAGTGTGTTGGAGGAGAGGGGTTATATAAGGGAAGAAGGAAGCGTTAGGTAAGACAGACAAACAATATTGTGCCATATGGTAACATCATGTGACTCATATCGAGTTAGGTAGAGAAATAAGGTGATTTGAGTGTTTGGAAAGATGAATAGCCAATATCTTGCAACATGACTAGTAGGAACAAGTCCAACTGTCTTAGTCTATAGGGCTAGTTATGTAGTGGAACCAACAGAACTGTAAAGATCCACTTCAACCCAAAACCTTAAGGTGTTGAGTTGAAGTGGATCTTTACATGGTAACAAAGCTTCAGTGTCCCAGGTTCGATCCTCGTCGGCCTCTGTTTTCTTTGTGAAATTTCTTAGTACAGTTAGGCTGGGCCTGATGCATCATCTACCTTTCAAGCCCAATGGGCTCTCTTGTGAAGGGACATGTTAGAGAATACTATAAACCATTAAAAAAGTCCTCACCCACCAACTTAAGCTTTTGGGTTGAATTGGTTCTTTACATGGTATCAGAGTTTCAGTGACCACAAGGTCACGAGTCCAATCCTTACCGCCTCCGCTTTCTAGTGGAATTTCTTAGCACAGGTAGACTGGGCCTGATGCATGATCCATCTTTCAAGCCCAATAGGCTCTCCTGTGAGAGGGTGTGTTAGATAATATTATAAACCATTAAAAAAGCTCTCACCCACTAGCTTAAGCTTTTGGGTTGAATTGTTTCTTTACATGGTAAAGAACCAATTTAACCCAAAAGCTTAAGGTTGTGGGTCAGGATACATTAATAATTTTATATATTTTTAACAATGCCCCCTCACAAGAAAGCTCATTGGGCTTGAAAGATGGATGATGCATCAGACTCAGCCTATCTATGCTAAAAAATTTCACAAAGAAATGGAGAGCAGCGAGAATCGAACCCGGGAGATCGAGACTATGATACCATGTAAAGAATCAATTCAACCTAAAAATTTATATTTGTAAGGGAGACTACATTAATAATTTTTTATATCTTTAATAGGAACCGGTCACAGGTTAAGAAAACAATTACAGTGGTGGGGCTAGTAAAATTTAAACGTGTCATTTCAATAAAATTTAAACCGTAGTATATTGATAATATTGTTTATAAAACGTGACGTTTTAATTTTTGTTGGATTATTTCAACCAAATTTAAAATATTCACTTATAATCCACATATGGTGTGTTTATATAACATTATCCAAATTAATTTTTATTTTTCCTTTTCCATCCTTAAATTTTTTAATGTATTCTTTTATTCATTTCACTCGAGACATTGGAGTATAATCCAAGCATTGCTGTATAAGGAAGATACTCAACAATAGACAAGCTTTCCTTTTTCCTAGAGACTCAAAGGACAAATAAATTTAAAAAGGGTCAAGATAGTTATTTTAAGTTGTAGAGAGGAAATAAGTGAGTCCCACCATTACAAGAAAAAAATAAAGTGTTATATGAAAATCGAAATGAGAGAACATGAGAGAAGATATCTCATGTAAAAGGAGAGTAATATTTTTTATTAAAAAACAAATATGAAAACAAAACCTACTTTTTCTGTTGTTCGTCTTTCTTTGTTTCGTTGAGTCACTTTAGTGGTACACACTATCAAAGATAGTCATGATGACAGATCAAGCTTTCAGGCACTTTTCCACCGAGGAGAAGGGCATGTGGACAAGGACATGGAACAATCAAGCAACAGTGTGAAGAGAGCGAGAGACCATCCCAACAAGAGAGACGTACAGAGAGAACTATATTTGCAGAAAGGTAAATAATGGAGCTTTACGTACCAGGCAAATTTTCATTCACTTTTGTCCATAGAATAAAGAAAGAGTAGATGAGAAAACACCTGTGTGAGTGTGTCTACTTTCTATTAAAGAAAGAAAGAGAACAATATGTGGTGTTGGGTTGGGGTGGTATTTGTACGTTTTCTGCACTAGTGGGGTTATGATTCTCAATCCCAAGAGAAAAAGAAAGAAATTAGGCTAGTTGAAATGATAAGCCGACAAAATCAAGGGAAAGGAGAAAATTATGAAATTGGTAATGGAGTCGACAAGTTATTGGTGTATAATTAGGGAAAAGAAAATATCGTACATACCATACCTCACACATATAGGGTCGGTAAAATGGGCTAGACTCGGTAGACAAACTCGCCGTGTCTGCCAAACTAGACGGGGTGGAATGAGCTGATTTAATTTTTGGCAAGTTGATAGCGGGGCGAGACAGATTAGTGTAAAATAAATTTTGGTCGACGGGCCAAGCTGGGTTTCTTAGCCCACTTTCAAAAGCGGAGTGAAGCAAACTGACTTATTTTTTTGATGGATTGATAACGCTCACTTTGCCACCTCTACTTACACGGATGAATAGTCTTTATCGCCCCTTCGCGTCTTATCCTATATATAGAGAGAGGGAAAGATAAATTTATAGTGGTGTAACTGTTACGTACATTATTAATCATTGACCTTATTTGTATTTAAATTATAATTTTTTAGTCACATGAGTCGTTAAATGCATTAAGTAATAACAACTAAGATTGAGTGTAAAAATTATTCTTCATGTACACTGATATAAGTTAAGACATGTGCGTACACACACATATATTCTGACCCATATATATATATATATAGAATAAGATTATTTTAATTAGTGTAAGTTATATCATCAATTTTAGTTATTGATTTTATTTAGATCTAAGTGCTCTAATTTATTAAGTGTACGAGTCATTGGATACAAGAAAATCATTGACTAGGATTGGTGGTAAAAAATTTATTCTTAACCGGTATATGTGACATTTTAATTAGTGTAAGTTATATCATCAATTTTAGTTATTGATTTTATTTAGATCTAAGTTCTCTAATTTATTAGGTGTACGAGTCATTGGATACAAGAAAATCATTGACTAGGATTGGTGGTAAAAAAATTTATTCTTAACCCGTATATGTGACATCCTTATGATAGTGAAAGTTAGCTATTTGGTTATTGCTTCCAATTGAAAATGAAATAAATTTAGCCTACCTACTGGGATAAGGAAGAACAAGGGAGACATTCATCCGCATCCTATGCAAACATTTTGGGGTGCATCTACCCCACTAATTGACTGCAAGTAGGCAAAGGACCACGAATCAAGATCCAAGCAAATTTCCACAGATCGACTTCTCCATTTTACTAGTTGATCTAAATAGTATGTTTGGCTCTCAGCAGAAAGAATTAGTTGAAGGATCCAATCTCCTAATTAAATTCTAGCTATATATTTATGTTGCCTCATTTGTGCACTATAAATCTTTATCCAATATTTTATTAAGAATATCTATATCATAATTAAATTTAAATTATTAAATATATGATTTTCAATATAATTTTTTGTTTTCAGATAATGTTTCCAACGGTTGTAAGAATACATCTAGGTGGTGATAATTAAATGCTAAAAATTGTTACAAGTAAAAGTGATCGCAGAACATCGATAAGGAATCTAACGGTCAAGTTTACGTATAAGGTAAAATTTGCATAATGAAAAAAATAATTTTTAAGGGTAAAGATTCCGTATATATAATCCCTACGAAGGTAATGTCAGGAATTTAAGTATGGGTTTTATTAGTCTCATTTCACATAAAATAGTAATCTTATGTTGTAGAGAGAATATAGGTGGGTCCCACCATTACAAGAGAAAAAAGTGGGGTGCAAAAATCGAAGTGAGGGAGCATGGAATATGTTATCTTATGCAAAAGGAGAGTAATATTTTCCTTTAAGTATATGTGGTGATGAAGTCCAAATAAAAGGATTAAGTGAGGTAGAAGAACGCACCCATTCAACCTTCTCCGGGCACCATGCCCTCGGGGTACGGCCCGTTTGGGCTAGCCCTAGATTTTTGACTTATCCTCTGGCCCCCAAAGGTTTGATGAAGTCCAAATAAAAGGATTAAGTGAGGTAGAAGAACGCACCCATTCAACCTTCTCCGGGCACCATGCCCTCGGGGTACAGCCCGTTTGGGCTAGCCCCTCATTGTAACAGTGGGTGCACTAAGCTTCGCAACCGGAGAAAGGACGAGACTAATCTCTCAACCGAAGATTTTTGACTTATCCTCTGGCCCCCAAAGGTTTTCCAAGAAACTGCTTGAGGCAGGGTATGATCCCTGTACTAAGCAATCCCTTGGGAGCTCAGCTGCCAACTAAGCTACCCAAGTATTTAGTGATTGTGTTTGGTGTAACTAAATTAGGCTTTTTGACCACTATAGCCTTTTTTAATAATTAATTACCAAACTGACCCTATTTATAAACTATTTCAAAAATTTAACCTCTCCAGAAAACATAACACCAATCTGCCCCTGTTTGACCGTTGACCATGAAGCCTACCCGGGTACACCCCTACCTACCCGGGTAAATTTTAAAAATTTTTACCTACCCGGGTACACCCCTCCCTACCCGGGTATATTTTTTGAATCTGGAAAATGTTTGAATTATTTACCCGGGTAGAGAGGGGTGTACCCGGGTAAATAATCATAACTCAAGCTTTTCTCTTCTTGCTTTTCTTCTTTGTTTCTGGTTTCTTTTTCAAACCTTGCAGAGTCATTTTAAGAATGGCCAATTTCTGAGCATCTGAGACAACCATCTCCAACATCTTCCTCTTGCCATCTTCAGTTGTCTCTTTTACAGTTTTCCACAACTCAAGCTTGTCAACGCCCAATTCCTTCACCTCTAATTCTGAACATTTTTTTGAATTGTCTGACTGGTGACATGTAATAGCATCCTTTGTTGGAGCAGAACCTTGATTATTTGCTTCACTAATCTCAGGCATATGATCCAGTGGAATATCTTTCATCAATAACCTGTTTTCAGATTTTGTTCTCCATGCGTTAGTCCTTCAATTTAGAGATTTTCATTTGCTGTTCACATAAAGAGGATG